ATGGCCGGAATTGCGGGAGGTAGTATGATCTAAGTAAATTTTTTTTTTTGTTGCACTACTTATGATCGCCAGTGTACTTCGCCCTGAAAAAATGACAAATATTCCAATTTATGCAAATATTTATATATTTTTATAGTTAGCTATATTTACATCTCAAGTCATGTTTCATGAATTATTTTTATATTAACTTTTTAAGAATATTATCATTGCCCTTGATTTGCATATAATCATTGTCGATTAGTTCTAATAATTCTATTACAAAGTAATCATATATTCCTAATTGTTAAAGAAATGTTTTTTTCTTATTTGTTTATCATCTAACTTCATCTTTATGCAACCAGAATTGCACACAATATTAACTTTATTTATAATATTTATTTATAATACAGGCTTTGCTACAGCCTCATCCCAGCCTTCCAAGGTCCTAATTTTCAATTTATTGGTTCAACCTGACGCACAAATGGAATAAACATGAAGCTCGATATTTTCCCAAAACCTTTTTAGAACTTGAAAAAACTTGCTAAAGTCAACACGTAAAATTCTCTTGGGAATTAAGGTAAGTTGATATGCAATTTTTTAAAGTCATCCATTATTCGTCCTTTAGCTTGTAATAAAATCAATTTTTGATTTATTGTAAGCTTTGGTTCAATAAAAATGCATAGTGAAGTCCCTAAACGGTGAGTTAGTCGCTCCAAGATTCAGGACTTCGTGTAACCTGCAATAAGACCTAGTCGAATAAGGTATGTTAGATTGCAAACTGGATGAATTCTCTTAAGCTCAAAGTCTTTAGTTTTCTACTTTCAATTCCTAATATAACACCTAATTTCCACTACGACATGACCAATCCTGTACGTTGAATGGACCGGAAAATGGGTGTGGTAAAATACACCTTATTCTAAGTCACCACAATTGTGTATTAAGTTATGTAAACAAGAATGAAGATCCAATACTATACTTAGTAATAGATTCGTGTTTACAATATTTGCGATTTAATACTGTAATATAGAGGAAACATAATGTAGTTTATTTGGGTCAAGAGCACTTTATTCAAGGCGAAAATTTTATACAGCACGAAAATTTTTCCTCTTTATAATAAAAAAAATATATGATAACAATATGCGATGTTGTCGCATATGCTGCAGGTATAGCGTGAAATCAAAACTAACAAAATGATCCGTTTTCTCTTGTTATAAATGAAATAATTATAATTGTATACTTTATCAATCGTCGTATGTTCTGCTATTTGTCATAATTTTCTGTCATTCGTCAATCAAAAATTGTTTGAAAAAAAGTTTACCATTCATTGCAATGAAAGGGCAAATTGAAAAAATTGTAAGGAGTAATGAAAATATTTGGAGAAAGAGTGCAATTAAGGATTGGAAGAGCGCAATGAAAGATGGTGAGAGACTAATGATATTTGACGAAATCTTTTTGCAATAGCGAAATGGTTTCATCAATAATTTTGTTTGATGAAACTTTGACGATAAGCGAAACTATTATAATTATAAAACAAAAAAAAAGATTTATAGCTTATTTTCTTTGACAACATGTTTCTTGAAAGTGACTTCCAAAACACAATCTTCACTCACTGTATGATTTAACTTTCACTAATATCTTATCCACGTACATACCTTCTAAATATATTTTAAAGTAACTTTTGAGAACATAATGTTTCGATCATTAAAAATTACCACCGAAGTTTCAATATTTACTGCAAAATAATCGCAAAATGATCATACTCTCGACTTACTTTGAAGAAATACTTTATCACTTATTACAATTATTTATGTCGTGCGTCTGAACAGATGATTGTAGATTTAAAATCTACCTAAGTTGGGCGAAATTCCAAATATAACGCAAGTTAATACGAAATCTAAAAGCAATTTGTGTTGACTCTAAATTCTGTATGGTAATAAATGTATAATTGATTAGCATAAAGTAATTTTCATTACATTATTTTTTTTCATTCTTTACAATTCTTTCTAACTGATGACCCTTCTAACACATTTGATGAGTTGCTTTTTAAATACCTTAGCAACAAATCGCTAATAGGTAATATTTAACCTTTATTACATGTGAAAGTTTTATGTCTGTAAAAAGATCATTATTGGGCAAAATTACATATTCTACGATCTTGAAGCACCAACCACAAACCCTATTATTATAATCCAACCACTTGTGCCATTGTGTCTAACAAGTTCCTAAATTGATAATATTCCTTCAACGTTCACAAACATTCGAGAATTATCTATTATACAATCTTCACTGCAATTAAATAATGTTAAATGTAATTGCACAACAAAATACGAGTGATAAATATTATTAATATAAAAAACTGGATTTGCTTTAGGAATCGTAGTTTGTATTCTAGTAACGTGTGGGAATCTAATTTTGATAGTAATAAGTAATGTATTTATTTTCAAGTATCAACTTTATTTCATTTTCCGATAAATTTGTAATAATGATTTTTGTCGTTGAAAAGCTTATTTATTCCGTTAAATGGGGGTCTCTAAACACTCCCATTTCATTTGCAAATAGGAATTTTCAAACCCACATTTATAATTAATTTGCGATGTGCAGCGTATGAATAAACCTTATTTTAAAGTGACTTAAATTCCAAAGCAATATACTTGATATATATTGTAAGTAGGATTTGAAGTCTTTAACAACTCGAATACAATTAGAATTCTATTATAACCTATGTTTATTCGGAATCAATCTAAGTGGATTCTAAATCTATAATAAATTCATTTCGACGTACGACATTTATACTAGAATATACAAGAATGAAATTTTGAAATCAAAGCCTATAATGATGAGCGTTCGATTCGGCGTAAATTTTGAATTTAAAGAAGAGCCTTTTGTAACAATTATTATATTAAATAACGGCTTATTACTTTATGTCTTGCATAGTTAATTTAACGTTCCATTAAATAGATAGGTATGTATGAGCACTGTAGGTTGAGTTAGATAAATACGAGTGTTATTTTTGTTTAGTCAATAATAAAGAGTAACCTTCATGATACGATAAATCGTTTATATTATTTGCTTTCTTTTATTCTGTAATTTGATTGGTAAATTGTCATGCTTTTTCACTTACTACGTATTTTGAAAATTTTATTATTTTAACAGCACCAAAATTAGATTATAAATGTTGATGTATGTATAATTAAAAATACAATATTACGTGTGAACAATACTTTGTCGTTTATTCAAATGTGCAGTAGGCATGACGATGATAGAATTGATCATAATTACAACAAAAACTGTACATATAGTTAATATTAGATCTTTATTTTTCCTGACAATTATTGTACTTATTGAACTCGCAGTTAATTGAACTGTAATACATATATATTTAAAAAAACTATAATCTCTATGCAAGAGCATAAATTGCCATAAGTTTACGAAATGTACTTGCAAAATAATTTAACACATTAAAAAAAGGGTGTTTAAGTCCAAATTTCGTAAATATCATAAATAATAATCAAACTGATAAATATTCTATAAAAAATATTATTATGATTCATCTTATATTTAGCACCATCACTATTAAGTAATGTTTCAGTTCCAGCTGCTGAAGTATTCGTAGTTCCTTTATTTTCCTTTTCAATTACAATTCCTGATTTTGGCTGTAGCACGATACTTTTCGGATCACTAATGCCCGACAAACAAATAATGGTATCCCCTTTAATAATATCTTCATTCTTTAATTTGTAAATTTCCTCACATTTGAATCGTTTCGATTTCGTTTGCACATTTATTCCGCCTTTAATTTCATTTAGCTTTGATAATTCGAACTCTGAAAATGTTCCTGTGACGTCTACAGATCCATCTATTTGTTCTAACTTTGGAAATCCATTGATTTTTTTGAGAGATGGATTATTAGAAATTACAAAAGAAGGGCCAACCATTTGAAGTTCTGGGAAATTTGCGGATTTGAGATACTGGTTATCTTTTATTGTTAAGGTACCTGTTACGGTGTGGAGGTTTTGGAGTGTGAAGGAAGGAGATTTGTTTTCTGATATTATGAGGTTATTGGATATCGTTGAAAGAGCGGGTAAGTTGAATGAGCGCATGTTTTTAACAGTTAGGTCGTTTACATTTTCCAAACTTGGTGCCTTTTTTCATAAAAAAAAATTTAAATAATACAATTCTGTAAAGAGTATATCTTTGACATTTAAGCATTTTAAAATCATAACTTACGGTAAAATCAAGTTTTTTATTCCCCGCAAGATAAATTGTATTAATACTTCTCATATTTGGAATTCGTAAAATTTCCAATTGTTGATTATTCTCTACCCGTAGACTGGTCATTTTCTTTATATTTAAAGAGAACACTCCTCTTACGCCCGTTTCTGTTATCTCTAGATTATTAGTTTCATTCAACCTTGCAGAGAAACTCAAATCAGTTAAACTTGGTAATTGTTTAAACGCTAATGTATCGATTTTTTGGAGAGAAGAGAATTCCAATGTTGTTAAAAGGGTTTGATTTGAGATCCCAATACTTGTGGCCGATACTAAATTTGGGAGTGAGATTCGACGAATATTTTCATTAGAATTGATATCTATTGTGCCTACGAGGATTTGTAAATTAGGAATGACCAAATCAGAAATTGGGAGTGAAGATATCAATATTGTTCCAACGAAAGTTTTGCATGATTTTATTGGTTCTATGTCTGATATTGCTCGTACTTGAATACTTCCCGTGCATGTGTTTGCTAAATTAAGACATTTAATAAATGAGTTATAATAACGTTGATTGATGTTTTTTAATCTAATTACATAAATTTTGTTACCGTTAGTATGTAATAAGAGCATGAACATGCAGTAAATGAATATTCCATATTTTACAGGGCTTATCATATATATCAGATATATTAAGAAATATTAAGAAAAAAATATTTTTTTTTATCAGATCAAAAAAAATAAATTCCAAGCGGTAAGAAAAACAGAGAATATTGGTGGGTGGATTCGTAGAAAGTAAATTTCTTTAACACTAAGCATATGTAATAGCATTCTTATAGTGGTTTATGTGAGTATCAGATATATCTGTTTTATCTACTCTGACAAGCTTGATTTATTGACAACCGTTTCTCCATCGGTTTAATCAAGAATTAATTTTCTTGCTTCGTGATTTATGAAGTGATCTGATAAAGTATATTTCCGTAAAGAACTGGATGAATGGTTTAAATTTATAGTTAAAACGATGATCAACTATAGATAGATTAGTAATTTCCGGTATCGTTTAAGTTTATCAATACTGCCCTAGCAACGTTTACTCCATAGTACCCGTTGGTCTACTATGGAAGTATACAATTAAGCATTTCTACTGTATTAACGACAAAATACTGAATAATTACAAATGCTAAATGATAAAAGAAAAAAAAAACCAATTGTAGAACTATGTTCTATTGGGAATTTCGACAATGCGTGGGTTGTGTTTTTAACCATTATCCATGATTTTAATGACTTGTGTAATGTATTTTTTTACAAATATTTTAATATCTGTGTGCTGTGTCAAATTTTTGGTAATTTGATTAGTTAAACTTAATACCACTATATATCATTCAAAAAAATTCGATCCTTTCCGGAAGCACGGGTAACACGTTAGTGACTATAAAAAACAATATTAAACGATTCAAAGACGATTAGATTGTATATGTATGTACGTAGAATCGGTGTCAGAAATCAAGAGTATGTAGGATTTAAAAAAGTCAATTAGCGTATAACACTCTGTAGGTTATACTATTAAGGTTAGGGTTATAACTATACTTCATCTTAGCGTGTTAGTATTTATGGTTATGGGAATAGTTTAACGATAATAAACGTTTTTATTATTAATACGTACGTACGTTATTAACCTGACTATACTACTTTAGGACTCGTAGATAATCATGCAAACCGTGGAAACATATTAGTATTACTGTATTAGCGTTAGTATGTACGTACGTATGTAGATAATCGCTTGTGCTACACAACTAAGTATAAATGGAAATCTGCACCCTGCACTGGTAAGAACGTACGTGCATGCATAAAAAATGACCTTAAAATTATTTGAACAGCTCTCTCAAGACTTTACACAACTTTTAGAAAATGAGTACGATTACAATGTAGTAATTGAAGTTGGAGAACGACCAAATATTCAACTTTTTAAAGCACATTCGGCAATCTTATACCAACGATCATTATACTTTCGTCAAAAATTTGGAAATGCGATTAAGGGAAATAATGTTTTTGAAATTAAACTACCTCATATTTCTGTTGAATTATTTAATATTATTATAAAGTAAGTTATATAAGAATACTATAATTATAAAATATATATTTAGTGTAAAGCAATTAATCAATACTTTTTCATCGATAGATATATTTATGGAGGCGTAGTTTCTTTAGAAAATCTTGAAGCTTTGGCAATATTTGATTTATTAGTCATCGCCAATGAACTTCAGCTCATCAAATTAGTGGAATGCCTCCAGTCTCACCTTATTGATAATAATGCATCTTGGCTTCGCTTAAATTCTTTTCGAGTTTATCAAATGAGCTTTCTTCATGAAAATTTTGGTTCTTTACAACAATTTTACAATAATATATTTGCAAAACATCCAAGCATGATTTTTGACTCTGATGAGTTTACCACTCTCCAAGAAAATGCTTTAATTGCTCTTTTAAAAAATGATAATTTACAAATGGAAGAATCTAAGATTTGGGATAAAGTCATTTTATGGGGAAAAACAAAAATTCCAAATTTACCACCTGATATTAAAGATTGGACTAATGAGAATTTTAAATCTTTAAAAACTACCCTTCAACTTTGTCTTCCTCATATTAGATACTTTCATATCCCTAGTAAAATTGTCTTAAGTAAAATTAAACCATATCGTAATATTCTTGAAGAGAATTTATGGGATGACATAACGGCAAAGATTATGGATCCAGATGCACCCATCACCTCTCTAGTTTTACCTCCTCGCAAAGAAGAATCTGTACAACTCCCTCCTCGCAAAAAAGATCCTGTAAAAGTTCCTCCGCCAAAAAAAGATCCTCCTCCTCAAAAAGCACATGGACAGCAATCTGTTTCTACACCACTTATTCAGATCGATGATGCAGAGCAGGATACTTCACGTACCAACAATCTTTTAGATTTTAGCGCACCTTCTCCTACTAAAGAGTATTCTGATGATTCTAGCACTACCAATATTTCAAATGAAAGCGACGATTCTGACTCAGAATACTTTGACATTCAAAATATTGATGCAAATAAAAATTCTAATTTTAGCGCACCTTCAAATGAAACCGACGATTCTGTCTCAGAAGATATTGACATTCGAAATAGTGGTGCAAATAATAATTCTAATTTTAGCGCGCCTTCAAATGAAACCGACGATTCTGTCTCAGAAGATATTGACATTCGAAATAGTGGTGCAAATAATAATTCTAATTT